AAAAAAAAAAAAAAAAAGCATCCCTGATAGGATATTGCTTTGGTCTCCACTTAGCCACCTGCTTAACTGAAACAGAAAGGAGTAATTGTGTGCCCTGGAATAGAGAAAGAAACGCATGAAAGTCACATTGTCACATGTGGCAAGCTGTCCTGGGTTCTGTGAATCCTGAGATGAGGCCCAACAGTGTTAATCTCTTCATGATTAACTTTTTCCCCTTTTTTTCCATTGTTTTATTCCCTTGAAAGTGTTTTTCTTTTTCTTTTCTTTTCTTTTCTTTTTTTTTTTTTTTTGGTGAGGCCATCTGGTGGGCAGCATTGCAGTTTTTACTCATTGGTTTTGTCTCTTCCTCAGAGTTTTGGAATAGTGTTTGTTTAATCGTCACCTTTGGTCAGTTTAAAGTGGTGGGGTAATATATCTTTTAGTGTTCATTTGTACATCAGCAAAATACATGAAATTACAACATCTTTGCCAAGGAATACAATATATTATACAGTATATTCTCCCACTGCCAGAAAATCAAATGTTTGCCTGGTAGCTAACCAAGCTTCCTGGAAGCCAGAACTCTTAAAAGTTAATGTTTAATGTTCAGTTACAAATAACCACCAGATTTTCTTACATCTGTGCTTGACCCTAAATGTTCAGGACAAAGGTTTCTAAATATGCGGCATTTCAAATGTTGCATTTATTGTGTATTCTAACATAGAGTCTATAAATTACAATGTAACTAACCCATAGCCATTATTTCTAACCAGTAATTAAATTCTTTTGGTTTTGCCTAGGTCCCAACAAGCATCAGAGTGCTGTGACCTGTTTACAGTTCAATAAGAACTTTGTAATTACCAGCTCAGATGATGGAACTGTAAAACTATGGGACTTGAAAACGGGTGAATTTATTCGAAATCTGGTCACATTGGAAAGTGGGGGGAGTGGGGGAGTTGTGTGGCGGATCAGAGCCTCAAACACAAAGCTGGTGTGTGCAGTTGGGAGTCGGAATGGGACTGAAGAAACCAAGCTGCTGGTGCTGGACTTTGATGTGGACATGAAGTGAAGAGCAGAAAAGATGAATTTGTCCAAATGTGTAGACGATATACTCCCTTCCCTTCCCCCTGCAAAAAAGAAAAAAAGAAAAAGAAAAAAAAGTCCCTTGTTCTCAGTGGTGCAGGATGTTGGCTTGGGGCAACAGATTGAAAAGACCTACAGACTAAGAAGGAAAAGAAGAGACGACAAACCATAACTGACAAGAGAGGCGTCTGCTGTCTATTCACATGAAAGGCTTCACTTGTGACTGAGGGCAGCTTTGCAAAGTGAGACTTTCTAAATCAAACCAGGTGCAATTATTTCTTTATTTTCTTCTCCAGTGGTCATTGGGCAGTGTTAATGCTGAAACATCATTACAGATTCTCCTAGCCTGTTCTTTTACCACTGACACCTAGAAAGGAACTGCAGTAGCATCCAAACAAGTACTGGTTGACTTTCTAATTAGAGAGCATCTGCAACAAAAAAGTCATTTTTTCTGGAGTGGAAAAGCTAAAAAAAAAAAAAATTACTGTGAATTGTTTTTGTACAGTTATCATGAAAAGCTTTTTTTTTCCTTTTTTCTTTTCTTTTTTTTTTCTTTTTTTCTTTTTTGCCAACCATTGCCAATGTCAATCAATCACAGTATTAGCCTCTGTTAATCTATTTACTGTTGCTTCCATATACACTCTTCAATGCGTATGTTGCTCAAAGGTGGCAAGTTGTCCTGGGTTCTGTGAGTCCTGAGATGGAGTTAATTCTTGATGCTGGTGCTAGAAGTAGGTCTTCAAAAATGGGATTGTTGTCCCACCCCTGTACTGTACTCCCAGTGGCCAAACTTATTTATGCTGCTAAATGAAAGAAAGAAAAAGCAAATTATTTTTTTTTATTTTTTTTCTGCTGTGACGTTTTAGTCCCAGACTGAATTCCAAATTTGCTCTAGTTTGGTTACAGAAAAAAGACTTTTTGCCACTGAAACTTGAACCATCTGTGCCTCTAAGAGGCTGAGAATGGAAGAGTTTCAGATAATAAAGAGTGAAGTTTGCCTGCAAGTAAAGAATTGAGAGTGTGTGCAAAGCTTATTTTCTTTTATCTGGGCAAAAATTAAAACACATTCCTTGGAACAGAGCTATTACTGCCTGTTCTGTGGAGAAACTTTTCTTTTTGAGGGCTGTGGTGAATGGATGAACGTATATCATAAAACTGACAAAATATTTTAAAAATATAAAACACAAAATTAAAATAAAGTTGCTGGTCAGTCTTAGTGTTTTACAGTATTTGGGAAAACAACTGTTACAGTTTTATTGCTCTGAGTAACTGACAAAGCAGAAACTATTCAGTTTTTGTAGTAAAGGTGTCACATGCAAACAAACAAAATGAATGAAAAAGTCAAATGGTTTGCCTCATTCTCCAAGAGCCACAACTCAAGCTGAACTGTGAAAGTGGTTTAACACTGTATCCTAGGTGATCTTTTTTTTCCTCCTCCTGTTTATTTTTTTTGTTTGTTTTATTTATAGTCTGATTTAAAACAATCAGATTCAAGTTGGTTAATTTTAGTTATGTAACAACCTGACATGATGGAGGAAAACAACCTTTAAAGGGATTGTGTCTATGGTTTGATTCACTTAGAAATTTTATTTTCTTATAACTTAAGTGCAATAAAATGTGTTTTTTCATGTTAGTATGCCTGTTTCTTCCACTGAGGTAATAATATTTCATTATAAATATTTAGGGTTTGTGTGTAATATTTAAAATGGGAAAGTCTTGGTTTCCTTGCATTCTCTTTTGTGTGACATAGAACTCGATATTTCTGAGCCTATTTTGTAAGCTAAAGTGAGGATCGTATGCTGCAAATGCAAATTTTATCTGTCTCCTGGCTATAAAGGAGCACACTCCACTGTGTTCATTTCTGTACCCTGCACTGGGGTGTAAAGTATGAAACCCGGGTCCCTCAAAGAGTCACAAAACTTTTGTGATCATTACAACTGGAAGTCCTATAAATAATAAATTCATTTTAAAATTTTGACCACGTATTAAGTGCTTACCAGGCACTTGCTATGTATTATCTCTCAAGTTCCCACCATCCCTGAGAAGTAGGTACTATTATTTCCGTATTAAAGGTGAGCAAAAACTGCAGCTCAGGCTGGTTAAGTAATTTGTCCAGTTAGATAACTAAGAAAACACCAGAATGCAAACCTATATTTCCAAAACTATATACATGCTGCCCTTTAAGAAATTTTGACAGACTAAAGCAAGGTTTGCGGGCTGAGGGTGAGGGGAAATAAGGCATTTTTGTGGTACTCACAGACTTTCCTACAGCCCTTTTGTTCAGTAAATCTAGTGTTTCAAAAAGGGAAAGGAAGTAAAGTTCAGGGGGGTGTGTGTGTATATATATATATTTCCAGTAACCAGGCTATAAACAAAAATCTTTCTATTAAATTTGAGGGTACAAAGAATTAGGTTACAATGTTTGCATTTGTTAGGTAGAGTCCCTCCAAAGGCAAAATATTAAAAGTTAATCAAATTGGACTCTCCTTAGAGAATGTACTTCTAACAATTGTAAAGAACGTGTTCTTGACTCATAGGGCAGCAAATTCTATATCCCACTCCCCCAGTGCTACTACATCAGAATGGTCTGGGAGTGGACCAAAGAACCTGCATTTCAGCTAGCTCTCCAGGTGGGTTATGGACACTAAAGTTTGAGAACCACTCTTCTAGATGCCCATCCAGTATATTTGGTTTATTAGTTCAGCAAATTACAGGCACAAGAATAGCAGGGGAAAGGAAAAGACCAAAAACCACCTGACTAATTTAGACAAAAATCCTGTTGGTCACCCCAGGAAGTGTACGGGCTTTGGAATATACCAGAGCATAGCCCAGGGCCTTGACTGCTGTTCACACTGTGATAACTCTAAATTGTCCAGAAAAACTTGTAATCCTGTTTGGTAGTTCTTGAAACGTTTGATTTTTCATAATACCATATAAATGAAGCTTAACTGTAATAGAATTGAAGGAAAATACCAACTGTTAGAACATTATAGAATAGAAAGAGCTCACAGGCTTTGCAGATGACGAGGCCTGAATTCAAATCTCAGTTCTAACATTGTCAAGTTACTGTAGCCTTTAGCTTTCTTGACCTCATGTTTCCTCATCTTCTAAGATGTAGAGGATAGCCACCTCCACAGGATTAGATAAAATGTTACCAAGCACATGGCACACTGATGGCACTTGGAGCTCAGTAAGTGGTAGCTCCCATTAAAACTTAAGTAGACCCAGATCATTGTAACTCTGTATGTGTGAGAGGTGAATGTGTTGTGACTCATTGTCACAACAATGTACAATGTAAAATGTGTTGTGACTCATTCAGGTTATGTTATAAAAATAGCATTCATATACACACAATAATTTATATTCTTTTAAGTGGCATCACATAAACTCTTACTTGAATCTTACAGAAACCTTGTGAGATAGAGTGATATGGAATACCTAACAGTGATTTTATAATACATAGTCATCCTTCGATATCAGTGGGAGATTGGCTCAAGCCTTCCCCCGACCCCCAACCAGGATACCACAGTTCCACAGATGCTCAAGTCTCTGACGTAAAATAGTGTAGTATTTGCATATCACCTACCTACATCCTCCTGAATACTTTGTCATCTCCAGATTATTAATAATACATAATACAATGTAAATGCTATGTAAATAAAGCCTGTATGCGTTCAGTACAGACACAACCATATTTTCCCAAATATGTTCAATCCTCAGTTGAATCCATGAATGCAGAACCCATAAATACAGAGGGCCAACTGTACTTGGGTGTTTATTAAGTATTATTTTATGAAAAAAATGAATCTTTATTATGGTGGATCTGTTCCTGAAAGGAAAACATTAACCTCTCTCCAAAGGAATTAAATATTGTAGTTGAAAAGAAAAAAAAAGGTGCTAAGGGAACCCTATTTTATGGTCTCCTTAATGAAAAAATTTACCACCTTACATAATTTGTACATTTTAAGTCTTCATGACAGATACAGGCAGTTCCCCTATCTAGATGTTTCGAGTTCTCAAAGATCAAACATTGCCCAACACCAGAGCTAAAATTAGGAAACAAAAGTAACCCATAAAGGCCTATAGCAGGTGCTCACTAAACACTTGTTGAAATGAGAAAAGGGAGTTGACTATCACATTATTTTTTATTAGAATTATTTACAGTTTTGACACTTCAAAACCACCATCTGAGATTCAATTACCACATGCAATTAATTTGCAACAGCTAGTGCCTACCAAATAGTTAAGTAAATGTTTCAACCTACCTATTTACTTTGAAAAAAGTAAGTGGCATTTACTTGTATTAACTGTTTTAAGCCATTTTCTCTATTTCAGCTAGTCTGTTATAAAATCTAGTAATTCTATGGATCGATTAGAGGCTACAACAATAAAAGACCTCCGTGTTTTTCTCTTCCTCTGAAGTGAAATGGGATCAAGGGCTTCTTGCCCAGACATGGCTGAGGCCTGGGTTTCCGAACTCTTCCCTGAGACAGTCACTGCACTTTGACAAACAAAGGTACAAAGAGGTGAAGGAGAGAAGACACCCCAGAGGGGCCTGCCCACCTCCCTTCTCGCCCCGTAACTCCTGGTCCGTCTTGAAACCAGAAGCAAGAAGCTCTCACTTTGCGTAGTACAACTAGATTCACATCACGTTTTTCTCTGATGTGTTTCCTCAGAGAGAAGAAAACTTAAAAGTCCTCCTCAATCAGCAGCTTCCTTCAGAAGTGGCTTTATTCATCTTCCTTCTTTTAGTCACCTCTCTCCCCTGACGATAATCAGGACTGTAAACTATACTCCCTCAGGTTCGTCAGCCAATCAGGGATCCAACCTTGCTGTCCTTCACAGCACTTGTGGAAGAACTTCCGATTTTGCAGAGCCATTTGTAATTTTACTAAGAGTAAAAATGGCTTACTGTTGCTGATGAAGGAATTTGAATAAACGCTTCTGATGCAGATTGTTTTAATGTTCCCTACCTTACTGCATTCGGAAGATACGCATGTACAAATATATATTGGGAATGAGTCTCTTGTTCTCAGTGACTCATAATAGCATCATTTTCTTCACCTA